CCATCTGCATCCCAGGGCACCAGAAATTTATCAAGCTAAAGAATTAACATGTTGTGCTGTATATATGGTTTGCATAAGGTTCACAGCAGAAGTAGTAGCACTAGCAAGAAGAGTTGGGGTACAATAAGGTTGGCAACCAATATTCCCAAAAATTGGCAGCAATGGCTAAGAGGCCTCTAAAGCTCAATAGCAAACAGAGACCCAAACTTAATCTACCATCATTGTTCTATCAACTAAACAGGCAACATAAGTTAAGGTAATTGAATAGTAATCTCAGAGGATTTATAAGGTTAGTGAAACTACAATTGTTCCTTCAAGAGGCATGAAACAACAGCCCATCCTTGAAAATAATACGCAGCTCAACTACCAGCCTGTACAGATACATAACACAAGCTTGCACTGTAAGTGATCAAGGAATCATGAAACAAAACAGGTCTCTGAAGCAGAGGTATGGAATCGGGACAGGTATTCATGCAAATAGGCCTCAAGGCAGCATCCAGTCTACAATGTCAGGGTGAGCTTGTCCACACAGGCTGACAAACATGAGGTCCAGTAAGTTACCACTGATCACGTCACTCCTCTGAAAGCAGTCCTGCAGTGAATATTGGGATGCTCCTAACACCAGAACAGTGGACAAGAAGTGAAGTCCACAGGCCCTCCATGGTGGTGGATCATTACCAACAAAGGAATCTCTAGGAATACTGGAACCCAAGTGGGAAGCACCACATCTCCTGACAAATGAATTCTACAAGTGCTATGCATAAGCTCACATTTTTCCATTCATTCACCTTTGCTTCCAGAGGAAGTCAGAGCCATAATCTATCCCTGAATACCTTTCCATACTTGTACCTTCTACCTCAGGATCTACAACACTCAATAATTGAGATCAATGCAAGAAGAGGACATAATATTTGTATAACAAATAGTGAGACAAGTCTTTGAGCAATGAACAATTCAAAAATAATGTAGGAAGTAAATTCTATTTATACTAGTACAATAAACATAATACTTAGAAATGAGTGTTTGAAAAATGTAACCTTGAACAATGAAAACTATGTGACACAGTTAGTTTAGGAAGCAGCCATTTTTACCTGATCCTTATCTCCTTGCCTCTCAGGAACTTACTTTTAACTTTTACAGAAAGAAAGAATTCTTTTTGCTTCATATTTTATAGGTGCTCCAATGTTGCCATCTATACATCCAAATGTGCCTCATTATCTCCATTTTTATGAGGAACAACTCAGGTCCACTAAAAGAGGCATGGAGAACCTATGCACTGGAGGACTGAATATCAGGCATCAATATTTCCTACACCATCATTCCCAGTCATGATGTGGGGAAAGGATCATTAACAATCACAACAAATCATTCAGAGACAGCTTAGGATGTCTGATATGAGGGAGAGAGGCAAAAGGTTTATTCCACAGTGTAATGGACATAGTCTGGGAAGACAAGTCTGAGGACCCCCAGATATGTAGCCTACAGTTGCTTCAGAAACTTCTAGGATCAGAGAAGAGGTAGAAAATCAAAACAAAATGGGGTATGCAAAACAGAAAAGTAAAAACAGACTGGTTTGGAGCAAGTAATCAAGCTTCACATGAACATAGACCTGCCCTAAACTCTACCTCCACCCACATTCAACCTAACCTCCCTAGACAAGCATTTTTTGAAGTCTTGGGAAGGAGTACCATTTTCTAAGAAACCCTGGGAGGAAACTTTTCACTAGTTCACTGAAGCAATTGATAAAAGAAAGGCAAGTAGAGCATAGCAAATGCTCACAGACAGTGCCCATGCTCTGAGTTCAAGCCACAGGACCAACAACAAAACCAGGGAAAAAAACTTTTTCAGGAAAGGAAAACTTCAGACACAAATAACCAAAAACTCCTTGAAATTTCATAGATGGAATTTGAGAGTTTCTGGGAAAGTAATGAGGAGAGTTTGACAAATCAATTTAATTCAAAGATTATAAAGTATGTCTACCTTAAAATCCTGCTATCTTATTTCAGTATATATATATATATATATATATATATATATATATATATATATATATATATATATATATATATATATATATATATATATATATATATATATATATATTAGAGCAGGGGGAAATGATCCCAGAATCAATCGGTTAAATGGCTGTAAATATCTGATTGTGTGACTTGAACCCCTGGCCTGAGCACTATCCCTGATCCCTTCAGATCAAGGTGAGCTCTACACCAATTGAGCAGCAAGGCCACTTCCATTTTTCTGGTGGTTTAATGGAGAGAAAGCTCATGAACTTTCCTGCTCGAGCTGGCTTTGGACCAGCATCCTTAGATCTCAACCTCCTGAGTCCCTAGGATTACAGGCATGAGCCACTGGCACATAGGTACAAATACGCTTTTAATGTGAGAAGGGAGATATTCAAAATTTTAAGGCAAAAGGGACGTAATTTATATGTACCATATCACACATTTTTAACAATAATAAAAACAAAACCATGGGGTCTCATAACTTCAATTACATTAATAGAACTAAGAATTAAAAGTCCAAAATATCTAATGCTCCTAATACATTTCTTTCTTTTGGTTGATCTCACAAAGTTTCAGGAGGTAAACTGATTTTTCAAGGAGAAACTCACCTTAGTTCCCGTAGATGGGAGAGAGAGTTCCCCATGCATCCATGCACATTTAGGACCAAGTGTCTGGAGCCAGTGAAAACCCTGTAGCAGGCCCACTTCCTCTAGGTGAATGCATCCCATTATGGGAATTGTAGTTTCTATCAGGACACAGATCATTTGAAAATGTGTTTGCAGGAAAGGGAAGAAAAGAGGCCAATGCCTCCTTGCTCACTGTTGGTGTTTTTAGTTTGCAAATTCGGGTTTCTTTCCTTTTGCCTTGCTGCTGGACTTGCTCTTAAGTACAGTTTTGCATTCCATGGTCAGAGCCAAGAGGTAGAAGCCCAGCTTGTCTTCTTGGGAGGTGTAACTTGAAGCCATCTGAGGATCCTAGGGAGAGTCTTTCCCCAGTCTGGTTTTGATGATACCTTATGGGCTCATAGGTTTGTGCTGCCATTAGCACTTGTTCCTCCAGGTACCAGAAACTGGCTGACAAACCTCTGGTCCTCTAGACAAGGAGAGTCAGGAGTTGTGCGCTTATACTCCTGAACCTAGAGATTCTGGTACATACCCATGTGACTTTATAAACTTGCTTTTTGTGAATTGGAGCCAATGAATCTTAAACATTCCTTGAAAATGTCTTATATAAACATATTCATCCTCTTTTAACCCTCTGCACTTCCTATGGCTTTTGAAACTTTCAAAATGTTGCTCCCACAGATATACTTTACATGTCTATTCTGACACATTACAATTTTTCCACTGATATAATTAGCCTATTCTCCATCGCTTAAAATAAGAGAGACTGTCGGGGCAAGTGATTCAGTAGTAGAGTGCTTGCCTGCATGAATAAGTCCCAGGTTTGATTCCTCAGAACCACATAAGTAAAAAAAAGCTTGCAGTGCACTGTGGCTCAACTTGTAGAGTGCTAGCTTTGAGTTTAGGAGCTGAGGAACAGTTCCCAGACTCAGAGTTCAGGCCCCATGTCCGACCAAAAAAATAAAAGAGAGACTTCCTGTGTATGTGTTCCTAATCAATTGATAAAATATAATTTGAATACAATACAATGCCCTAGATATGTGTGTGCTTGTCCTGATTCTTGAACTCAAGGTCTGGAAAATGACCATGAAATTATTTGGTTCAATGATAATGTTGTACCACGTAAGCCACATCTCGACATCCAGCTACTTTGGGTACTTCATTGGAGATAAGTGTCTCAGACATCCATTTACACATGGATTTATTTTGTGATCCTTGTAGGGATCCTTCATGTGTATCCCAGGGGCCACAAGCAGGCACAGGACAAAGATTATTATAGAGTTTACTAGAAGGACTATATTTCCCAGGAGACAGAGCACATGCATCTGTCTTTCTTCAGGTAGCCAGAGGAGCTGGGGAGCAGGAAGTTAGGTAGGTGCATGCTCAGATAGGTGTGGGTAGAGAGAGGGGTGGTCAGCAGTATGGAGGAAAAATCTAGGTGTGGGAGGAGCTGAGGAGCAAAAGAGGGGATAATACTAACTTTCCTCAGATCTCAGCCTACTAAGTAGCTAAGATTACAGCCATTAGACATGAGAGCCCAGTTACAATGTCCTCTTTGAAATTCAGATTATATCCTAAAAAATAATATGAAATAGAAAACTTGAAAATTTTAAGGCAAGATATTCAGTCGCTAATATGGATATGGACAGTTCAAATCCCAGAATAAACAGAAAATACCCAACCTTGAATGTTGTAACACTCCTCATCTTAAATATTGTGAATGTGAACACTTAGCCTATAATAAATTCTCTTTAAGTTTCTCAAAGTAAGAAAACATTCTTGTGAATTAGAAAAACCCAGTACTAATGTGCAAACACTGCTTTTAAAGGATTCATATTGTCGTTCCTATCAAAAACACCTTACTGAAGTAAACAGAATTGATTTTCTCTTTTTGTGAATGTCACTGCAAAGTTCATGCATTTTATATTAACAATTACCATTGTGGGTAAGTGTAAGAAAAACCAGAATCCTGGATCAAAGAATTTCCTGTGTAATCAACCAACAAGTATAAGCAAAAGCACATACCTATATAAGTTCTTTTACATTTTATGGATCTACATTTTGGAGTGTATTTTCTGTTAATATTGTTTAGTAATACATAAGACTTCACTCTTCTGTGGATTTCTCTTTAGTGGAGACTTTAATGCTCTACTTGATTCAGGAATGTTTCTTCTCCCATAAGAAGGCTTTATGCTTTTCCAGCCCACCTATCATGTTCTGACCAGAAACTTCTAGGGTAAAATCACACAGGTTCTTTTCTGACTCTCTCATCTGGCTTCTCTCCAAGCCATGGTTCCAGAATCTTTACTTGTTGTCTAAAGCAAGAAAGAATGAAAGGATCTCTGATGAGATTCTTTTATTTCTCACTCTGTTTGACATTCCATGTTATGAACCTAATTGTGTCCAAGACTGAAAAACAGAAAAAAAAAAAGATTCAGCTTTAGGAACATGTTTCTAAAAAAGCTAAAGATGGCTTGTAGATTTAGCAGATGATCAAATCTTGCCTTCTAAGTTAAGTGCAGAATTGCTTTAGTTTGCTTCTCATTTTTTAATTTGACCACAATGTTGCCTCACTTTTTTGGGATTCAATGACACCTAGGAGGTAAGTTCTCATGGATGGTAAAGGTTGCCTAGAATCTTGTCAGACATCACATCCACAAAAATAACATTAGACTATCCTAATGAAGTTTTAATGGATTTGCTGAAAAAGTGTGGTCAAACATAATTTTGACTGCTGTACAGGACTGAGTGTGTTATAAGTAGTTCAATTAATCTCTGTAAATACTCTTGGACTTCTTTGTGGTATTTGTCTTTCTTGAAACTTAGTCCATATTTGATGGTATTTATAGAAATCTTTGTTTTTCCCTAAGTTATGTACAAGTGTAGAAGTACTGGACAATATTTCTGTGTAATTCTATATTCAGTTCTTTTTAGGACTTTTTGTCCCATCTTTGATAGTTTTACATACCGGAGAGAAATGCACCAAGTTCACATTGTTGTCACATCTTTCCTAGATTTTGTTAGACTTTGGAAGGATTTTTGTTGTTTTGTTTAAAACTATGGCCACACTAACATGTATAAAATGGTTATTTTATTGTACTTTTGATTGGAACTTTTCTCATGACTATTGATACTACTTTTATATTTTAATCTTCACAATAAATTTTTTTAAGAATGCAAAAACAAGAGAAACACAGAGTAAGTTCTCCAGTGGATGTAGGTAGCCGTTAGTGCAGGGAGGGTGAGCAGACATGGTAAAGGAGAGGAATATGGTTTGATAAAAGTCTATTTGTGTATGTGTGTCTATGTGTGTGGTTGTGTGTTGTGTTTATCAATGAAACTTGCTGACTTTGGGTTTTTTTTGTTTTCATTTGCTCATTTCATCTTGTTTTTGTTGCTCTTGTTTGACATTCCTAGGGCTAGAATTCAGGGCTTGAAAACTGTTTCTGAAATTCATTATGCTGAAGGCTACCACTCTACCATTTCAGCTACAGCACCAGTGCTTCTAGAGGTATTTGGGTGCTGTTGTTGTTTATTAGGTACTGAGATATCAAACTTAGTGCTCCATGCATGCTACGCAAGCACTTTATCACTAATCCACATTGCCAGCCCCAACCACACTGTTTTAAGGAGACACGGCTGCGAGTGTGGCTCAATGGTAGAGGGCTTGCCTTGCATACATGAGGCACTGGGTTCCATTCCTCAGCACCACATCAGCAGAAAATTCATTGTGACTTATCACCAATGAAATGCCAGAAAACTAGAAGTGACATTCTGGCTGGAAGTGGTAGCATGCCAGCCTTCAGTGAAAAGCATAGGGAATATACCAGGCCCTCCCTGAGTTTAAACCCCACAGCTAACAATTGAAAGAAAAAAGAAACAATCCCAAACAAAAACCTAATTACTGTCTCATTGCTTTTGTTCTTCTACTTTTCTTTGTAGTTGTAACTGTATGCTTCCTGTCATTCCATTTTCTACTGTCTTCCTTTCACTTGAGGGGTTGAACCTTCAGACTTGGACATGGAAAGTGGATACTACATACCAACCTATTCTTTCTTCTTTTAACATAAAAAGTCTGTTTATAGGACAGGGAAGTTAGCTAAGTGGTACAGTGCTTGTATCGCAGGAAAGAGGAGCTGGGTTCTATTCCTCAGGTTCTCATACACAGAAAAAGCCAGAAGTGGTGCTGTGGCTCAAGTGGTAGAGTTCTACCCTTGAGCAAATGCAGCTCAGGGACAGCACCTGACCCCTGGGTTCAAGCTTAAAGACCAGCAAAACAAAAAGTCTGCTCATTTAAATTAATCAATGCTTCCTCTGGAATTTAAAAGACAAACTTACAAGTGACATAAGTTCACTTTGAATAGTATTGTCCTCCTTTCCAGAGAGTTCACGGACCGCACACAAAACTCTGCTGTCATTTATAAACTAGCTGTTGTACAACATTAAGCATCAACACATACATTTCTGTTATTATTTTGAACACAATGGGATTTGTAAGGGTTGGTAAAAATAAGTGAAGAAAACCCTTCTTTTTTACCTATTTGTTGTGATAGTAATGGATCTATTTTCCTGTACACTCAAGTCACACACTTGTCATTGAAGTTCTCTCTGAACTATTTTCAATTTCTTTTCTTCTTAGGGCACACACATTCATACACATCCTGAAGAATTTTTACTAGTTCATCTAACAATGTTTTACTACCAATTCTCCTAGTCCACAAGTAATTGTATCATCTACATAGGACAAGACTATTACATTAGGCCACTGACTTCTCTGATAGGTCCGTGTGTCAACAGTCAGCACTACAGGAAACACGTGTGCACCTTGGCCCACGCTGCAGGTGCCATGCTGTGCTGGTGGTGGACTGATGGGTAGCACATACCCTGCTCTGGGCTTCTCACTCCTGTCCCAAGGGGCTTGCCAGGCTTGCCTATTGCATGAAGACTTTGGCACTGCCCTCCTCTCCTCAGCTGGCTCCTTACCAAACTTTTCTTTCCTGTGCCTTCCATTTTGAGTTCTGGCCTAGACCATGAGCCTTACCAACTTCCACCGCATCAGATGAAGTCTGCACATCAAACTTTTGGTAACAAACATTTAAGTTAGAATGCACATATAAAGTTTTGGCTGGGTTTTTCTCAGGTCCCATATACAAGTGAGGCAAAGATGGTTGGCTGTGGATGCTCCAGGTAGTCATCTACTCAAAGTACTGAGACCTCTATAACAGGGACTTCATACAAGGGTGTAAGTGATCCAGAAAAATGAAAGAGAATTTTAAAAGAACTTCTCAATTCATTGAGCAAACAGAAAAATATGTACACTTAATGTTAAGCTAATTATTGGAGGAATAATGACCTAGAGCTGGACAAACATGAAGATATAAGTGCTCAAGGTAAAGCAAGGGGGCCTTGGGTGGTGCCTGAGGATCTAGTGAAAATCCTATGATAGCCTTGTTCAGTACCCACTATGCTCAGTATCCCTGCTTCTTTCCCTTGCAGTCACTCTGAGGTGCATCATTCCAGGTTAACCTGAGGAAGAAACAAGGGTTCGCCTAACAACTTGTTCTCTCATTAGCATGGAGATTGCTTGGGAATTGGAGGTTCTTGGTTAACTATTTAGATCTCTGGAGAACAGACTCTTCTGGGTCCTGACTTTGAGTCATATTAACTGCCCCTGCTGATGATATCAGAATTTTCTCTAAAATAAATATGATTTTATTTGTATACTTTATCCAGCAACATTCACTGAATGGCTATTGAAAATAATCTAATTTAGAGCTGAAATCTTCATACAAAGGCAGAACTCTTAAAAAGCCTAATTTTGAAAAGGGCTACAGGATGAACTGTGTGGTAGGACTCTTGACATTCTGAAAACTTGTGTAACTTAACCCACTCTTATTGATTATGTCTAGGGTGAATATGTACCCATCATGGCTGACCACTTCTCTTCTGAGGACATAGCTTTTAGAATGAGCTGAAACTGAATAACCTGTCATTCACCCCTGTGAGTGGCCTTGAAATAAAGTGCAATCAGAAAGGGTAAAACAACAAAAATGCTTAAACACATCTGAACAGCTCAGACTGAAAAGAGGTTTTCCTCCTACATCTATGTACACACAGCACGAGACCACAGTCTTCTCGTTCAAATATAATGATATTCTGGGACCTTAAATCACCACTACTTGATTCCTTCTTTTCATATGATACTGTTTCAAGTATACGGAAATATTTGACCACATTTTATATGTTGAGTTCTTTCTTTGAAGGTCTCATTCCGCACTATACAGACGTAGACCACATTTCCTGCATAGTAACTTGAACCTCTGCAAGGACCTATAAACTAGTCAGAAACATAAAGGTAAGTGTATGTGAATTCACATGACAAAAGATACCAAACTATTCCTGACATTCTATCATTACCCTGGCTTATAAGACATTTGAAAATCAACTTCAATTGAGCACAATGACTATACCCTATGGAGGACTTTAGGCTTATACAAGAATGGTAACTTTTCTGCACGAGGGCCAAAAATCCATTTTACAAAATATCTTCCCTGGCCTTGGAGTGCTTTCTACTCAGGGCCTGGGTACTGTCCCTGGGCTTCGGTAATAAAGGGACAAAATTGTTGACAGTCTATCAACTTGATTCACGGCACTACTTGTAAGAAATTTGATGATAATGGGCCATAACACTCTCACAGCAAATCCTACCTCATTTGCCTTTCAATTGTGATCTTTAAACTTCATACTCTTTAGCAAGTAAGAATTCTGATGTGAAGCACCAGTGCCCTGTTAGATCAGGAGATCTTAATTACTTGATCCAAGCAGGACTCATGGTGTCCACACTACAGGATGCAGGTCCTTTTGCAATCACTTGGTAAAGGATTGTTTACTTATCATTCTGTAAACCATATCCAAATTCTTCCACTAAATATTTGGAAGAATGTATTGTTTACACAGATCATATTATTGGTCCTCAGGTTGAATTCAGGGGCCAAAATTTGTGAGGCTTCCTTTACCTTCTATACCAGATGCCCTTTTGTATCACTGATTTTTCACCTTAGGGTCTTGCTTCTCTGCCTGGTCCTTTCCACACACTAATTTTATAATTACCTTTCATAGGTAGTAAAAAAAAGATAGGCACATATGACCAGAGCCATGCTTTTATTGGCTAACATACCATTTTCATGAAGATTTTGCATGGGATAGCCTACTAATACTATTAATTTCAGCTTCCTGAGTAGCTAGGATTCCACACATGAGGGAGTTTAATTGCTCATTTTTAATTACTGGTCTTAAATTAAAAGAAGGAAAGAGTATTTTACCCATTCAGTGAGTATTAAGTCCCTTAAATTCTGAGTTCAAACAAAGTGTTGGCCAAATGATAATAACAAAAATAATACAAAACATTAATATTATCATCAGGCATACTTTAAATGAATGTGGTATGTTGGTTCATAATTTGAGCTATATAACAGGCCTAGGTAGGACTCCAGTCTGTGAACCATCCCTTCTCAGAAAGCATAGTTTGTAAACATGAGAGAATGAGCGATTTCCAAATTGATGGTGTGTGTGTGTGTGTGTGTGTGTGTGGTACAAGTAGGAAGGCCAAAGGCACACACAGGTGCCTCCCAATCCCCCTATTTATTTTTACTAGGCCTCTGTAGATAAGTAGAAGTGTTGGGCTGGGAAGTTGGTTCAATGTTAGAGCACTTGCCTTTCATGCATGAGGTCCAGGGATCAATTCCCCAGCACCACAAAAACAAAAAGAAAAAGAAAGCTGGAAGTGGCCCTGTGACTCAAGTGGTAGAGTGCTAGCCTTGAGCTGAAGAGCTGAGGGACAGCACCCATGCCCAGAGTTCAGGCCACAAGACTGGACCTCCCCACTCCACCCCCTCAAAAAAAAAAAGCAGAAGGGTAAATAGTGTGAGGGAAGAGGTTAAGGGAGCAACTAGCTAAATCTTACAATGTGAAGTCCACTGTCCTTATCTTGTAAATGGAATCATAGGCAAGATTTAAGGATTCTTTTTTTATTGTGAAAATACTGTAAAGAGGAGTTTTATTTTTGAACAATTGAAATACTGAAATTGTTGAAGCCACAAGCCTCCTGTTCCCAGAGGGAGATTTCTTCAGGACAGCCCACCGGGCTCATGCTTTGATTCCTAGCTTTAATGGAGGCCAAGATGAGAGAATCTCCATTGAAGCCAGCTCCCGCCGGCTTCAACTCAGTTCCTGAGTTCAACACCTGATATTGGAACAAAAAAAATTCCTTCATGAAAGTGTGAAAGTAGAGCTCTTCATGTAACCAAACAGCTCTGGACATATGTAGAATTATTGGCTTATATAGGATCTGGAGTCTTGGTATTTGTTTACTAATTAAGCACTTTCTGATGTAACAGACATTTTTTCTAAATGCTTCCAAGATATCTTTAATTGCATAACTATACAATGGCATCTATCTTGGCTCCAGAAATTCTAATGTTAGGTCAACTTTTGTGTTTCTGTAAAAGAAGACAGTATATTTGTTGGAAGCCACATTATGGAAGATGGAATACTGGAGTCTATTACACAGCTAACAGTCTGCAAGCAGCCTGTTGTAACAAAGACTTGCAGTCCACAAATACACTTAGACAGCTTGGAAACAGAACAGAAAGGAAAAAAAAGAATAATAACTACACCAAGAAACCAATCAGCACCAAGAGAGTGATGAATTGGGACACTAGGATGACCAGAGACAAGCCAGGAGACAGGACACAGGACATGATCACAGAGACATGTGGCATGGCATCTAGTGTCACTGCTGCTCCAGCCTAAATAGGGCCTAAGCAGGAGGCAGGGCTACAGGAAATTCCCAGTTCCACAAACTGATTGAGTAACATATCAGACAAATGTCCATGCCTGCTTCCAGGGATCCAGCCACACCCATCATTTGGGAGGCAAGTGATGGATGGGGCATTTCCTTCCCCCTGCATGAAGACAAGATGCCAGACCTCACTGTCCACCATGTGGCCAATAAGGCACCAGCCACACCTGACCTCCTTACTTAATATTACTGAATATTAAATCAATTTATAAAATGATACATCCTCTTTATCGTTTTGTAAACAATTCAAGAATTTGCTTTTTGTAAAAGCCATTTTTCTTGAGCCCCACCTCTGAAAGAATAATTCTCCCATTCACCAAAAATTAAACATTCTTCTTTTGAATAGTTTATTTCTTACTTCTTCCTCATTCTTTCCCTTCCTCTTTCCCTTTCTCACTTCTCTCCTTCCTTCTTTCCTTCCTCTCAGGGCCTAGAAGTGATGCTGTAGCTCAAGTGGCAGATAGTATTTATTTCAATTTTTGTGAGATTAATATCTTTGTGTGCTTGATTATTTCCACTAATGTCATATCTTACATTGGCCATCTATGAGATAACACAGTTGCGACACACCATTCACACTGGTGTTTTATTATAGCTCACTCAGCAGAACAACTAAATGGGCTAAGAGTGAATCAATCACCAGTGATTGTTCATCACCAGTGATTAATTAAATAAAACAGCAAGCACTGAAGATATTTTGAAGTTTTCCCCCAAGTCAAAATGCTGAGACTCTTGTCTTTATAAATCCACCATATTTTTATAATATATATTTTATTGTAAAGATACTGTACAAATTGGTTATACAATTATATGAATTAGGTCATGAATACATTTCCTATCGAGCATTGTTACCCCTCCGAGAAAAAATTTGCTACTATGTATGTACTGCAATAAGGACTAATATCTTCCAGTAGATCTTCCATTCAATAACTGAATGTTAGTCATTTGTACAGTAATGCTGGATCACACAAATAGAGGGGGACTTAAGGGAGCAATAGAAAAAATGTTGCTCTCATGTTCTTGCCTCCAATCATAACAGTCTTCACTCAACTATTGTTCCCCTAACCATGTTGGAGATGATCTGAATCCAGTCCCAAAGGGAAAGACCTCATATTTCTTAGAAGAGATTATCAAATTACCCTAATATACCATTCCTTATTATAAAAGATGCAAGTTAATAACTTCAATCTCTGAATTACTTGTTATAACTGGTCATTTCCACATGTTTGGATAATATTGAATGACACTATCCCCACTCAACACGATGAAAATGTGAGAAATGTTGGCTCAAAAAGAGTTGAAGAGTGAAGAATGGTTTTCCATCACACCTAGCTTATCTCTGCGATGAAGGATTTCTCTGTATAATTTACACAGGTTTTCTGACAAAGATTTTCCTACAATGGGTTTCTTTCCTGGGTGAATGTTCTAATACTTGCTGAGGGTTGTCTTCTGGTTGAAAGACTTCCTCTCATGTTTATATTTACAGAGATTCTGTCATGTGTCCAGGTCTCTAATACCTGTTCAGATTTGACTCCTGGCAAAATGTTTTCTATACTCATAATTTCTTACCTGTCTATGCTCTCACATATGCTGAGGACTCAGTTCTGATTGAAAGTCATTTCACGTATGATCTATGCACTACTTTCTTTTCTCCTATGTGAGTCAGTTCTCTGATGAACATGAGGTATTCCTTTCTGATCAAAGGATTTCCACATTTGTAATATTTTTAAGATTACTCTGCTGTGTGTCCTATGAACTTGGATCCATGAATACTTGGTAAAGGACTTTCCACAATTGTTACATTTGTATTTTCTCACCTGTGTCTGTTCTCTGATGCAAACTGAGTTAGGACTGTTTCTTGAAAACCTTTCCATTAATTTTTGCTACATAGGATTTCTCTCCTCTTTGAGTGTGAGGTTGTGTGTTTGTGTGTGTGTGTGTCTGTGTGTTCTATGATGAACCCTGAGTTGTATCTTGTAGTTAGAGGACTCCACATGTGCTATATCATAAGGTCTCTATCCTGTATAGGTTCTGTATTGCAATTTTAATTTTCTTACAGATCAAAGACTTTCCCATTTGGTACAATCCTAAGTTATTTCATTTGTGTGAATCAACTTATGTGTGTTAAGCTATGACCTCCAGGTCTTTCCACACTGGTTGCATTCATAAGGTTTCTCTCCTTGTGTTCTGTGATGGATGTTATGGTGTGCCTTCCAGGTGAAAGAATTTCCATGCCTGCTATATACATAACATTTCTCTCTGGTGGGTTTTTTTCTGATGGACAGAAAGGTGTATGTTTTGGGTGAAAGACTTTCCACATAGCTTACATTCATAAAATTTCTCTCTTGTGTGTGCTCCCTGATGGAAAGTAACTTGGAGCTCTTGGCTGAAATATTTTCCACACATATGACATTCATAAGGTTTCGTTCCTGTGTTTGTTTTCTGATGGACAGTAAGGTTTGATTTCTTGGTGAAAGACTTTCCACACATGTTACATTCATAATGTTCTCTCCTGTATGTGTTCTCTAATCGACAGTAATGTGTACCTTCTGGGTGAAAGACTTTCCATACACGTTACATGATAAGGTTTCTTTCCTGTGTGTGTTCTCTGTTGGACAGTAAAGTGTAGCTTCTGGGTGAAAGACTTTCCACACACATTATATTCATAAGGTTTCTTTCCTGTGTGTGTTCTCTGGTGGACAGTAAGGTTTGGCTTCCAGGTAAAAGACCTTTCACACATGTTACATTCATAAGGTTTCTTTCCTGTGTGTGTTCTCTGGTGGACAGTAAGGTGTGCCTTCTGGGTGAAAGACTTTCCACACACGTTACATTCATAAGGTTTCTTTCCTGTGTGTGTTCTCTGGTGGACAGTAAGGTTTGACTTCTTGGTGAAAGAATTTCCACACATGTTACATTCATAAGGTTTCTTTCCAGTGTGTGTTCTCTGGTGGACAATAAGGTGTGACTTCTGAGTGAAAGACTTTCCACACAGGTTACATTCATAAGGTTTCTTTCCTGTGTGTGTTCTCTGGTGGACAGTAAGGCTTGATTTCCAGGCAAAAGACATTTTACACATATTACATTAAAAAGGTTCCTCGCCTGTGTGTCTTTTCTGGTGGACAGTAAGCTCTGACTTCTGGATGAAAGACTTTCCACACATGTTACATTCATAAGGTTTCTTTCCTGTGTGTATTCTCTGATGGACAGTGAGAGTTGACTTCTGGGTGAAAGACTTAACACACATGTTACATTCAAAAGGTTTGTCTTTTGTGTGTGTTCTCTGGTGGACAGTAAGCTTTGATTTCTGGGTGAAAGACTTACCACAGATGTTACATTCAAAACGTTTCTCTCTAGTATGTGTTCTCTGGTGGATAGTAAGCCATGCCTTTTTGGCGAAAGACTTTCCACACATGTTACATTCATAAGTTTTCTCTTCTGTGTGTGTTCTCTCATGGATAGTGAGGTTTGACTTCCAGGTGAAAGACTTTCCACAAATGTTACATTCATAAGGATTCTTTCTTGTGTGCGTTCTCTGGTGGAGAGTTAGGTTTGACTTCAAGGTAAAAGACATTTCACACATGTTACATTCAAAAAGATTCTCATTTTGGTGTCTTCTCTCATGGACAGTAAGATATGCCTTACTGGTGAAAATCTTTCCACACATTTTACTTTCATATGGTTTCTTTCCTGTGTATGTTCTCTGAGGGACAATAGGGTGTGTCTTCTCGGTGAAAGACCTTTTATATTGTTTATATTCTTCAACTATAGAAGACAAATGAGGACTATATACAGCACACATCTTACCAGGTTCACTGAAAACACTCATGTTCTGATTCCCAGTGACCTTTTCTGTCCTCATTCCTAAGGAGTTCACATTATTCTTAATCAGTTCTGACTTCTGTTTTGAGCTCAAATTAAAACTTTTTATAAGTCTCACTTTTTCCTCCCCTGGGTTACTATTCATGACTGCTACTTCAGAGAGATATTTATTGTGACTTTCCTGACAGGTGCTAATCACATCCTCCATTTGTGGGACATCTAAAATGCATAACAGAAAAATAGACAAAAACATAAATGAAGTCCATAAATTCCTTACTGTAAAGGTATTTTCTCACATTTTAAGTGTTACAAGATTTTCAAATATCAAAGCATTGTTTTCTGCAGAATATAAACTTTTCTCTGCAACATACTAACTATGAATGTAGTACTGACATTTTACAATGGAAAATAATGTTTTTCTGTATTTCAGATTTTTCTATTTTTTTCTAGGAAATATTTACTCAAATTGTTCATCTACATACTCTTAATGCTTCCATTCTGAATGTCACTCTATGCCCAGCACAACTCATAAGCTATTGTCCTGATGAGAGAATAGCAGCACTACCATTCTCCTATTTTCCTCCTACCTGCATAATACTAGTTTAAAAGAAAATGAGATCTCCTTTTGTACATGTCCTATTGTCTTTTTCTGTTAAACAATGACTTCTCTACAGACAAAGAGAGTTGCTAATATTAACTACAATGGCACACCAAATTCAGTTTGTCCCCAGTGAATTCTGGATTGACAAGAATACTATTGCTCTGTACAGCTCAAGATAAACAGATCAACTGGGCTCTGGACCCATCATTAGCATTGTAGATGCATTAACTCACCTGTGAAATTCTTGTCTGAGGCTTCTCTTATCCATGGTTCTGAACCTTGCTCCAGCCTCACAATCAATTCTGGTTTAGGTACACAGAGCCCTATGAATAAGAAACAGTGGAGAACAATTTGTCGTGCTGGGTCATCATTAACATAAGGTCGCAGACATCCTGTTCACAAGGTTGCTCCTAAATGTGGTTCCTCAATTGTTGTTGTGGGGGCAGTCTTGTTGTGGGACCTGAACTCTGGTCCTGGGCACTGTCCAGCAGATCTTCAGCTCAAGACTAACACTGTATCACATGAGCCATAATGCCAATTCCGGCTTTTATTTTCTGCTTATGTGCTGCTGAAGAATTGAACACAGGGACTCATGCATGGAAGGCAATTCCTCTACCACTGAGCCAACTTCCAAGCCCATGGTTTCTCAATTCTTAACTGCTCCATTGTGGAGTAGAATCCACCTTTGGGTTTATTTTGCCAACTGCATGGCTTGAACTCAGCTCTTTTGCTAAAAGCTAGCATTCTACTAGTTTGAGTCTTCACTACGTTTCTAGTTTTTGAATGGTTAATTGGAGATAAGAGTCTCTTGGTCAATTTTTTACAGCTGCTGGTTTCAAACTGAAACCTTCAGATGTCAGCCTCCGGAGTATCTAGGATTTGTAGCTTGAACCACTAAACCCTGTATCAGGTTTGGTTTACAAATACACACTTTCACCTACTGATTTCCAGAGCATACTGTCAGTAGTAATGTATGTTCTATTCTAGACTCTAGATCCACCTATAATAATTACCCAAGTCTAAGAAGTCAGTCTCCTATTAGTAGATCAGAGCTTAGAACTATTGTCCAAATACTGATTTGCCTTCTTAAAAAACGAGAATAAAATTAGCTCTTGTGTTACATATAATGAAGTTGAAGTTTCCCTTAGAAAAAAATGACACTTCCCATGGCCTGCAATCTTTTTTTTGAAAATGTAATGGTCCAAAGGCTTACACCTGTAATCCTATATTTAGGAGGTGAGATCACAAGAGGCAGGTTTGAAACCAACCTGGGCACGGAAACACAGAATATACCCCCAAACAAAAGTGAAAATAGAATTGTGGCTCAAGCACTAGTGTGAAAGACAAACAACACCAAGCTCTCAGACTCAAATTTGACTGGCTTTTATACCAGCAGTTTTTTACCTGGGAATGGACTGGAATCTTCTCCCTAAATAACATAGTCTAATGTCTACTAAAAAAAAAGCACTCGGGGCTGGGAAGGTGGCTCAGTGGTAGAGCGCTTGCCTTGCATGCATGAGGCCCTGGGTTCGATTCCTCAGCATCACATAAGCAAAAAGAAAAAATCCGGAAGTGGCGCTGTGGCTAAAGTGGTAAAGCGCTAGCCTTGAGCTGAAGAGCTGAGGGACAGTGCCCAGGCCCAGAGTTCAGGCCCCACGACCGGACCCAAAAAATAAAAAATAAAAATAAATAAAATAAAAGCACTTGATCTTCCAAGTAAAAATAGCCTTTGCTCACCCAAGAACATGAGGTTGCTATAGGTCTCCAGCATTACATCTCTATGAAGGGTCCTCTGACCAGGATCCAGATCCTGCCACTCCTTCCAGGTGAAGTCCACAGTCACATCATCAAATGACACCAGCTTCTGTAATGGCACATTTCCATCAAGAAATTAGACCTGGGTTATGAGAATTCCAACCTGGAATTTCATTATGCTGCATGTATACTTTTGTCTTACATAAAATGTTTGCAGCTACCTTTGTTATCTATTCATTGGGAGAATTAAATACCAAACTAGAAATATTTGACAATACATAAACCTGGTCATTAAAATACTCAGATTTGTGGGGCGCTGGTGGCTTATACCTGCAATCCTAGCTATTCAGGAGGCTGAGGTCTGAGGATCAAGGTTCAAGGCCAGCCCAGGCAGGAAAGTCCATGAGACACTTATCTCCAATAAACCACCAGAAAATGAAAGTAGCACCGTCACTCAAGTGGTAGCACTCACCTTGACTTGAAGAGCTGAGGGAAAACAACCAGACCCAGAATTCAAGCCCCAAGACCAATCAAAAATTACAGTTTCCATAATGCATGCAATCACATTTCTGCTGCTAGCAGTAGAGACAAGATAAAAACTCTAAGGAGACAATAATCTGGCATGATAACATTAAGTCTAAGGAGGTGTCTGAAAAGTTATATTATCATTTTTGATAAAATTTCAGTACATACCAGGGTAAAAATGAATTAAACCAATATTTTTCCTGCATTTACACATACTGCTTCACCATAAATCCTATTTAGACCTTCTATTAACAAGTACTCTCAAAAGCAAGCAGCACACATTCAGAATATCACATGGAATACAGAACATAGAGCATTGCTAGATCTATGAAAAGCAGTGTCCACATGAATGTTCAAAAAACAGTAACAGTACTCCAGAAAGTAACTAATGATTGATTAGGCCCTTATAAGATTTAATTGAGTTCCCACATAAAAACATCCGTGGTTTACCATGTTTGGTTTAAATGCTAAATATTGAAATGTGGTCATAGATACCCTGATATTTCCTTCTTATGTAGAAAAGAACTGCTACCATGAAATTTTGTGAACTTTGCCTACATTCTACAATACAAAATATAGGTGGGAGGGAAAAAAATGTTCCTTGACAAAGTTTTCATTTTAATAGGCCTTCATGGAAGGTGAAGGCAAATATAGAGAGGCTCAAGGAACACTCAAGATGACAAGAATGATAAATATGACCAAATGCTCAAACGCATCACATATTCTTGAATCCTTTCTCCAGAGTATCTCTAAGGATATATTTTCATTTGTGTTAGTTAATAGTGAAATACCTCAGAGATCAAAATCAATTAGTGAGCAAACATCTGTGAGATTTTGCGGCAAGTGATATTTCTAATTGAGAACATCTTGTCACTGTATTATTTTTTTTTCAACACTAGTTCCAATCTTATACTGGCAGTGAATTAAAATATTCAACAGTAGTGGGATGGAAAAACAAAATTAAATACCACATCAAATGAAGTTAGAGCAACACAAAATCAGGAGAAAACAGATTTTCTTGTAGTGTATCAATTGGTAGAAGGAAGTACTTTTCTGTAGGGAACTCTGAAGTTGGCTGAAGGGAAAAAGGTTTGAGAAGTTGGAATTCCAGCCTGACAGCACTGAGACAAGTGAGAGCTGGCTGCAGAAGGCTTAAAAGAGAAATCTGGAGAGGGTTAAGAGACTGGAGTGCAGGCATTTTCCTTACTGTTGGAAAGATAGCATCTGAAACTGAGGTGCTGTTGACCTTGAAGGCTAGGTAAGGTGACCTCCATGTCTGCATTTTCTCTGGGCGACAGTCTTCTGTCTCAGGAGAATAAGGAAACATGTTTTCCTCACAACCTGTTATGGCTCTGATTGTACTATTAATATAGATACTTCTTTTTTATTTTGTTTGTCGGCCGTGGGGCTTGAACTCTGGGGCTGGGCACTGTCCCTTAGCTCTTCAAGGCGAGTGCTCTACCACTTGAGCCACAGCGCCACTTCCAGTTTTCTGGTGGTTATTTGGACATAGGAGTCTCACAGTCTCTCCTGCCCGGGCTGGCTTTGAACCGCGATTCTCAGATCTCAGCCTCCTGAGTAGCTAGGATTACAGGCGTGAGCCACCAGCACCTGGCAGATACTTCATTTTTGCATGTTATCAAAGGTAATCTTCCCAGTGTGCACTCAAGGAACTATAGGAGCTTTCTGGCGCCCAGGGACAAAGTGCCAGAGAGCCTTTGGAACCCTGGTTTCCCGTACGTCTATCTGTTTGTGTTTTTGTGTGTCTCTACTTTTCTTTGTTTCTGGAATCCTGTAGAACTCTCTAGGCAATAATTTTCCTATACTACTGGTAAGAAAAATGTCAATCCTAAGAGGCATGTCAGCAACTTAAAGTTGATCACTATGAAAATCTTGTTCCAGATAGATCATTTGAAGAAAAGAAACAACTGAGACACATAAGGAGGAAAGAGGGAACGAAAAAAGAAAAAAATGATAGAAAGCTAGATACAAAGAGAGAGAAAGAGAAAAATAACCAACACTAGCGAGTAGAAAATCAAAAATAGAGTTCTGAGGATCGCAGTTCAAAGCCAGCCGGGGCAGGAGAGACCGTGAGACTCCTATCTCCAATAAACCACCAGAAAACCAGAAGTTGCACTGTAGCTCAAGTGGTAGAGCGC